CCACACAACGGTTGATCGCGCGACACGTTCAGGAGTTCTTAACAGAACGTTGGAGTTTGTGTGAGCCGGGTACCCCACGAGAGGAGGATGCACTAGATGATTGGGCACGGAATAGTGCTCGATGGCGCATAGTGGCGTGGGTGGCCTGGCACTCATTGTGTGTGCCGGCCGGAAGTGGTTCGTCAGAACGGGGCTTCTCGGTATCCGGCCATACTGTGCGATCTCGGCGGGCATCTCTGGGGGATGAACGCATTTCGCGGCTGATGTTTTTGTCCGGCAACACCGACTTGTAAATTACAAGTTGTAATTTTCCGGGTTCTATTGGCTTGTCTCGAATTGGCCTATGGCTCAGTGTGTGACTTGTTTTAATTTTGGCTATATGTCCAGCTTGTACATTGGGCAATGTGCATATTGCTTTTGCTGCAAGTCAGGTGTCCCTGTGAAAATGTGTCTCCTGGCCCTGAATCCGGCCTTATGAATGCCTCTGCAACTTGCACTGGTCCGCCAGTGGCCCCCCCAATTCGTAAGACCTCCAATTCGCATGGTCCGTTCCTGGGGAACGGACAGGAACGGACCAGAACGGACAAGGACGGGGCCGTTCCATATCAGGAACGGGGCCGTTCCTGAGCCGGGACGGATCCGTCCCTGGGCAGAAACGGACCCGTTCCAACCCCGTTCCGGCCCGGCCCAGATCCGGCCCAAATTCATTCCTGGGGAACGGCCCAGGAACGGACTAGAACGGACTGGGACGGGAACGGGGACGGGTCCGTTCCTGGGACGGGGACGGACACCGTTCCCGTTCCCATTCCTATGCCATTTGGCCGAGCCCAGCTCTGCATATATTTGATGATGTTGGGACCCGATGTCCCAGCCTTTGTAAAGGCTGCTATCTCAGACTTAATTTCAAAGTCTAAGCATTTATGATCATAAAGTGTCTCCATGCCATACTTAAGTTGTTCCCATGATAGTTGGAAGTTTGGCTGCGAGAGCACTTATACATTAATTGTAACTCCCCACAAATGATGCAATTGGGCAAGCAGGTCGTGCTTCACTGACTTTTCAAGAATCTTGAGTGTTATCCATCCCCATTGACTCCGGGGTGCGACAGTGGTTTTGAAATACATGATAATTTCTTGCAACCACTTTATCAAAGCCTATTTGTCTTCATTCCATTGGGGGGGTTTAATGCCTTGGCTATTCATCTTTTGCATGCTCACCTGCAGTTCCCTCTCAGGATGTATGTATACAGGAGCAAATGGCACTTCCTGTGCCGCCGTCAGGTACCCCTAACCCAACCCCAAGTAACCAAGACCTGTGGGGTCATAGTCTGCTGGCGGCGGTGGTGGTCCATCCACTGCCATATTGAGTCTTGCTGCCACAGGGGCAGCGGCCCACAGGGGCCCACAGGGGCCATGTGCTCTTGGAACGCAGTGAGTGCTATGTGACTGGTGAGCTTGTCCTGTAATGCATCTAACTACGGCTTGACTCCTGTGCCTGGGAGCGGCTGTGTGTGGGCATCCTGGATTTTCGTCTCAATGATGACGATGATCACACAGAAAAAAGACAAGAAACTGCGTCGAAATTGCGTCCAAGGGCTCCATTCCGTTCAATGGCCTCTGTTGCATCAAAATGATGCATCCGGCCAATCGCCGTTCTTACCGCACGTCGCCCTGGTCGCTACCCAGCCTGCCCACCGCTCCAGGGACCGGCTCCTGCCGCTGGAACCGCGCCGCGGGCGGCCCTGCCGCCATGGCCGACGAGTCGCTGCCCACCTCGGCCGTCGTGATGTCGATCTCCAAGCACATCGCGATCCGCTGCCACCAACAGAACGTGGCGTTCATGCAGTGCAAGAAGGCGGACAGGAACCCGGAGGCGTGCCTAAAGCAGGGGGACGCCGTGACGGGCTGCGTGATTGACATGTGCGAAGGGAGCGGCTGGTTTGCATGAGCTGGTGATCTGGGTTTCTGTGATTGAAAACGTCATCGGCGAGCGGGCCAGAAGACTGTTCTTGTGGGGATTGTTGGATCTCGAGTTGACTGGCGCGGCCAGGTATTGGCCTCAGATGCGTGACCCCGCCGCCACCGGCGCACGGTTGGATGGCTGTTGCGCGGCTGATGGTCGTGACGGGCTGTGTGGCAGATTGAAGGACTTGAACGCGAGGTGCCCGGAGCAATTGAAGGACTTTCACGAGTGCATGGACTACTACAGGTGGGATGTACAGCACTGGACACGGGTGCATGTAACAGCTGGGATTCGTAGGCCACTTCGACCGGGGAGCAAGCCCTCAGGGAATATTAAAGGTCTTGACGTACGAACAGTTGGGCAGCCACAATGTGCCACTGCCTGACATCAAGGTGGTTTCTGTCATTCACTGTGAGAGCATGTTGCCTTGATGGTAAACCGGACTTCCTGTGGAAGCAGTGTTGATGTTTTTGGAGGAGATCTGTGGGTTTGGAGGACATGGTACTGTCCCACCCATGTTTAGCGTTTGGCAGGCATCATGTGGAAATTGCCTGGCTCACCGTCTTGCTCACGTCTGGGGTCTTCATGTCTGAGAGAATTGAATGGCAATGTGATCCTCTCAGAGGATAGAAATGCCTGAGAGGATTGAATGGCGATGCACAGAAGCTGTGACCATGCAATATCCATGAAAATTGGAGGCACCGCCCTTTGTCCCTGAGTCTTTTTGGTCAAGAGACAAGAAGATGCTCTGCTTTCTCACCCCAGCACGTGTGCATGGTAAGGCACTTGTGCAATCAAAAAGGGTCGTCAACGCATCCCTCCTGGACACCTGCAGCTTGGAATTGTCCTAAAGTTGCGGAATGTGTGCCCAGAGTGAGTCCATAACCCAGCCACCAGCCAACCACTTGAGTCTCGATCGTGTACATAAATTGTCCATCCATATTCAAGCCTTTGCTGTTGCCCTTGGTCTGCACAGCCAATATCCATATTGCACACAGAGCCGCACTTTGGCTGTGCTTTAAGCAGATTCAGGGTTAGTCAATTATGCCGATGGGTATGCTTGGGCCAACTTATCAAATGTCATTGAAGTTCTCAACACAGCCTGCGGCAGGTTTTGTTGCCTATCAAAATAAGGGCTTGTGGCTGTGGCAGAAGGCAGAGCTGATGTGTCCCAGCTGCACAGCACCACTGACACCTCACATAACCTGTAAAATGTGTTAGGGTTCTGGTCATTCGTGTGTGCACAGCCTTGATTGGCCTGGGCACACAAATCAAGGCAGCAGCATGCAGAGGCACAAGTAAACCGTCCGACACAAATGTTTATTTCCATTCTTATGTGGGCTCCCGTGGTGTCAATATGTGGAAAGGGACCTGATCTATATTCCTAAATGGAAGGGTGTTCCAATGTATAGCCTGATTTCGACTTTGAACCAAATCGTGACATTCACTGTACATCATTTTGTGTGGAAACAGAACGTGGGCCGGTGCGTGATTGTGGAAGTCCTGATTCAAAGTTGCGATTGTCCATGCAGCCATGCTGAAGTTCGTGTTGCGTGTATGCATGTGCACAGCCACAACTTTCAAAAGTGCAAGAGCGAGAGGAAGGCGTTTGAAGAAATGTGCCCTCCATGATGGCAGCATGCGATGACTGTGCCATTCAAATGGAAGGATATGTGCGGTCATGGCTGGGATCGGCATAGCTAGATAGGAGCTCTTTGGAGTCTGCTTGTGCCTGTTCTGTCACGATCAATGGAGAATCGGGATCTAATGCAAGGGTGCCTATTGTTCTCGCCCATGTGATGGCTGGCACCTTGAAGCAATGCTAATGTGGCCATCGCCCTCTGCAATCGTTCCTGCTGGAACTGGCACGGTGGAGCGTGTGGGCTTGTGCCACTGAGGCGCTGTGTAACCGGCAATACAACAGTGTGTGTTGCTCTTCACATGTGAGACAACTGTGCTCTCTGTGGTGAGGCGGTTTCTGTTCATGGCCACAGACATGACAGTGGAGCCTGCTGCACATCAATCCAGTCTTTTGTCTCTTGCCAGTCGGCAATTGCCGCCCAAGTTTGCCAGTTTGCTGAAAGTGCAGCAGGGAATCAGTTGAAGTGGGGATACTGGGATTCGAACTTGTTTTGGCCCATATTGCAAGTATTGTGCATCCTGTGTAAGGATCAGACAGCCTGGAGTGTAACCAATTTCAGGGCTGCATTCACCACTGGCAACTGGTGACGTGTCTTGAAAATTAGGAAGCTCGCTTGTTTTGGACATTTCGTTTTTGCGGTAACATTTCAACCAGCTACGCATGTCGACAGACATCGTCCATTGCAAACCACGAGCCAATCAATGGCTAGAATGGGCGCAGGGGTGACAGGAGTGAATCGGGTTGCAACAAGCTATGTGCTGCACAACAGTCAGTCCCTGAGAAATGGGCCTGTATTGGGCAATGTGGCAGAGGTAACTGGGAAAGCCATGCGGTGCTTGTTCACAGAGCCCAGCAAACCAGGGTAGCGGTCCCTGTGCCAAATCAATGGAGCAATGCACAAGGGAGGAGGAAGTATGCTGTTCCAGAGCCTATGACAATCAGTTGTTGTCCAGGTCCATCTGAACAGCGGTTGGGCCGGCACCACAGCAGCCCTGCGTGAGCACATTGTCCAGGGCGGAATTCGATGCTGTCGGCATGTGTTGCAAGCACCACCAGCAGAGTGCCAGAGGAAAGAATGGAAATGCACAGTCTCTACTCAAAGACGCAAAGCTGCATGCCAATTTCTGTTTTGATCAATCTGCTGATTACGGTTGCAAAGTACATGTGAAGCGCCGTAATGAATGTGCCATCCCCCGTGCTTGCTTGGCACGCAGAGCTGTACCATTCCCGGAGTCCAAGGAAAGTGAATGAGCATAATCTCATGTGTGACAAAGTAAACATGTGTGACAAAGTGCAAAACCATTCATCCATCCAGGGCATCAGCTAATACAGCTACCATCTATGGTAGCCTTCTATCCATTCATGGTTTTCCAACCACCAAGGGCGCAATCACATGCACACAAGGTTACCGACATTTGTGCAACGTCCATCACGACATGAAGTTGGTGGCATCAACAAATGGGAACCAACTAGCAGCAGAACTCCTGCTACCCTCCCGGATGCATTTCTACTCGTCGTCCACCCCAGCCGTCCACATCCTCGACAGCATGTGCGCGGCCATGTTGAATGGCCTCCTGTCGAGGCGCGCCACGCCCTGCTCCATGGCGCACTTGCCCACTTCGGCGGCGATTTTAACACAGATTTTCCTCAGGTCCTGGATCTCGGGGTAGATCTGGCCCCTCTCCAGCTCCTCCGGGAACACGGACCTGGCCAGCGCCTTGGCGGCGGCCACCAGCATCTCGTCCGTGACCTTGGTCGCCTTGACGTTCACCGCGCCAAAGCCCACCCCTGGGAAGATGAACACGTTGTTGGCCTGACCGGGTCTGTACATCTTGCCTTCGTATTCCACCTCAGGGAACGGCGATCCCGCGGCGAATATGGCCTTCCCCTTGCTCCAGTGGATCGCGTTCTCCGCCGTGATCTCGGCCTTGGACGTGGGGTTGGACAGCGGGAAGATGAGCGGCCGGTCGCAGTGCCTGCACACCTCCTCGATCACGCCCTGGTCGAAGGACGGGCCCGAGCCCGACAGGCCGAACAGCGCGTGCGGCTTCACGTGCGCGATGATGTCCACCAGCGACGTCATGTTGGGCGTGCCGTCCGTGCGCGCGAAGGGCACCTTGTGCGGCGCCAGCTTGTCGCCGCGCGTGTTGGTGATCAGCCCCTTGCTGTCCACCAGGTACACCGCCTTGAAGGACTCCTCCCTGCTCACTTTGGCCTCCGTCTCTATCAGCTTGGCGATCATGCCCGCCACGCCGCACGCCGAGGACCCCGCGCCGTAGAACACCACCCGCGCGTCGCTCAGCTCCGTCTTCTGGACGCGCATGCCGTTGATGAAGCCCGACAGCACCACGGCGCCGGTGCCCTGGATATCGTCGTTGAAGCACAGCAGCCGGTCGCGCATCTTGTCCAGGATGTCGAACGCCCTGTCGGTCTGGAAATCCTCGAACTGCACCAGGCAGTTGGGCCACTTGTCCTTGACCGCCGTGCAGAACTCCTCCACCACCTCCATGTGCGCTTCCCCGCGCACCCGCGGTGCCTTCTTGCCCAGGTAGAATTTATCCTCCAGCATCTCCTTGCGGTCGGTCCCGCAGTCCAGGCACACGGGCAGCGCCCTCTCGGGGTGGAACCCTGCCCCGGCAACGTACAGCGAGATCTTTCCAACGGAGATTCCCATCCCGTTGGTGCCCAGGTCGCCCAGGCCCAAGATCCGCCCCCCGTCCGTGACCACGATTATGTCCACCTCGTCCGAGTACCAGTTGTCGAGCATCTCCCGGAACCGGCCCCTGTCGTCGAATCCCGAGAAGTACATCCCCAGCGGGCCGCGGAACAGGCGGCCGTACTCCATGCAGCCCTGGCCCACGGTGGGCGTGTACACGATGGGCAGCAGGTACACCAGATTGTCAACCAGCACCTTGTAGAACAGGCTCATGTTGGCCGTCGCCAGGTGGTTGAGGATCGAGTACTTGTCGATGTCGCGCGTGGCCTCACGCAGCTGGTACATCACGCGCTCGGCCTGCAGGTCCAGGCTCTCCACCGTGGGCGGCATCAGGCCCAGCAGCTTTCTCAGCATCCGCTCGTTTCTCGTGAATCGGGTGCCCTTGTTCAGCACGGGATTCCAGATCAGGGGTGCGGATCCATTGACGTCACAGGCCTGCATCGATGCCGTCCGCACGGGACCTTCAACCGTGTACTTTCGGCTGGTTCTGATTCAAAGCGGGGCCCAGAGGGAAGGGTGGGGAAAGGGGTCTGCGGAATGGGAAGGGTTGCTGAAGGCGAGGCGGCGCAAGGCTTTGTAGCGCCCGGTGTGGGGCTGGCGTGTGGGACCTGGGGCGGACTTTGTGTGAGAAGAGGGGTGGCCCGCATTAGCAGAGGGGCGGTGGGGGCCCTAATGCACTGCGGGCCAGCGCCGGGTAACGTGAACGCGGCCGCGCGTGTGCACGTTGGGACCCACACACTGCGATGGGCCGCCCCTGCTACGTTGGCGAGTGACTGCGATTGACCAGTCGCTGCGAGCGCGTCCACCCTGTGCCCTCTCAAAAAAGGTGTGACGTGCTCTTCTTCCGGAGGATGTATGTGCGGTAAGGCGTTGTGTTCATGACGCTAGGTGGAAGGATAGAAGAGCCGGGGGTCGAGGGTGTGGGGCTAAGAGCATCTTTATCGGTCGGTGCTATTGCACCGGCGGAGTTATACAGGAACGGTTTTCATTGGCTGCCGTGCCACCTTACTAAGGCGGCATTTGCCGA